AGGGGACAGACACCTTCCCCGGGCGAGTCAGGTGCTTCCTGCCAGCTTCCCTGTTGCCTCCACACTCAGTAGCTGTAAGCAAAAGCACCAGCCTTGTGGGACCCACAGCCACATCCATGGGACTGGGATGCAGGCATGATGGCTGGGGCTCTGGCAGCTGCTCTGGCGTAAGAACGAGGGAAGGGTGGTGGCACCTGGGCTATCGATGGCATCACAGAGGTTGAGACTGCCTGTGTCCAGACTCCCCACTTTGAGACAGAAAGACCCACTACGCTTCAAACACCAGCTGCCAGGATATGGGTCTTCTCTTATAAGCAGCTTGCCATGAGATGAGGAGGCCAACAGGCCCCATTCATTCCCGGGCCCTGGTGGCCAGTCCCCACCTGCTGTGCCTGGGCCTGAGTTCTGCCTGCCCCTGGACCCCACCTGGCAGAGTGCGTCCTAAAGCAGCAGAACCGGGAGGGGAGAGCCTGGTCCTCAAGCACCTCCCGGCTGGAAGCGGCCCAGGGCTGACCATCCACTACTCAAAACTCTCCTGCCTTCCACAGGCCCCCTTTCCCTACCCAGGAGACCTCAGGGCCAGCCTAAGGGGACAGGGGACAGGACTTCCTGCGGCCGTTCTATGCCCCCAGCGGCTGAGTTCTGAGGGAGTGGCTAGGGCAGGGCTCACGGCTGTCACACAAATGAGACAGACCTCGTGGGCCCTGCTAGGGACAGGCTTCAGGCAGCAGGAGCCAGGCCCTGTGTGGGCAGCGGCGGTGTCGCCAGGGGTTGGGGGAGGTGTGGGGGAAAGGCCAGGTCCAGTCAAACCCCAGGCCACCCAGGAGCCATGCAGAGTCCCGAGGAGGCCAGAGGCAGGAGGCCACACCCATCCCTCAGGGGCCACACAGAGGCGACCTGCTGCGATCTCTAATTAAACCTCAGAGTTAATTAGAGTCTTCCCGGCCCAGGGGAGGGGGCCGGGGTGGAATAATCACAGCTGTGCCAGGAAACCCAGAGCCGCGGTGGGGACAGAAGGAGCCTCGATGCCCACTGGGGAGGCCAGGGCTCTGCCACCCGAGAGGGGTGCCCCAGCTACACCAGCTCTGGGCCTGAGCACACAGGTCACACTCGGCTCAGCGGGGTGGATCCCGACCATCAGTGTCGACGGAGAGCCGGAAGGTCAGCGCCCATCACCTGGCCGGCTGTGGAGGGAGGCTCCCCCTCCCAGGCCTGCATCCCCACTCAGGGCTCCAGGGCCTTCTCTCCCGCGTGGCTCGGCCCACAGGGAGATGAGGCCTCTGCTCCATGGCCTTGCAGGGACTGACCCTGCATCTGTGGCATCAGGAAGGACGTGGAATTGGAAATACATGTAACGACTGGCTTTCTGAGTAATACCCTACCAAAAATTTTAAAGTGAACATTTCTTCATCTTAAGGAAGACTGAAACACAAGCCAGGAGGGGCCTCTAATTGTCATCCTGACCCACATTATTCTAACATCTTTGGAAAAAAACATTTTAATTGGGTCTTTGACTTTAAAAGAAGGGAGCTTTCCATGCAGACCTGAGGGTCTCAGCGCCAGGAGCAGGCACCCCCTGCATGCGGCCCCAGGAAGGCGACTTCAAAGGGGAAGGCGGCAAGACCAGCATCCCACACCCCCCGCATCCTGGAAGCCCTCGCTGATAGCGTCTCTGGAAAACCCGGGTCACGGCGGCAGCAGAGAACCCACCAGGGTGGAGGGGCTGCCGGGGGCTGCTGGCAGACAAGGCCTGGATGGCAGCCAGCACCCACCAGCGTCTCGGAGCAATGACAGAGGCTGCCGTCACCGACGTTATCGCTGGACAGGGAACATTCCAGAAGCAACATGCCTGGTGTTTGTAAAACACTTGGCTTCCAAGCAGCACAGAACCCTGACTCACTAGCCTGGGGGCCAAGCTGTGCCTTGCCCCTGCCCACCGCCCTCCCTCCCCACATAAGACAAAGGTCACAGACCCGATTTAACCCTCAAGGACAAATTCGGGCTGGTGCAAGGGTGCCATGGAGCCTGGGCAAACCAGATGCAGTCCCCATCTAGACACAGCCCCCACGTGGGCCACACTCAGGGCCCAGCAATCGGGCAGCAGAGCGCGCGACCAGAATGCAAGCCAGCCCTCAGAGTCGGCGTGGGGTCCCACTGCCTCCCACAGCAATGCTGCACAGAACCACCCCTTGCTGGGAACTCACCCACCCACACGTCTGGGGTGATCCCAGCACGCTGACCCACAGGGGAAGGTGGAATGGGCAGGCTGAGATAGAGAGCTTGTGGGGGGAGGGTCCATCAGGATGCTGGATTCAGGGCCCCCAGAGACCAACCCTTCCCTCCTGTGGACCCTGCACCCCGGCTGTGTGCAGGGCCCGTCCAGCTCCGCTGTGTCGTCTCCTGCACCCCATTCACTCAGCAACACCCTTCTGTGCACAGTCCTAGGTGCTGCCCACACAGCGCACACAGAGCAAAGACCCCGCTCTCAGGAGCTTGCCCCCAGGCCCCGCAGCCCCCAATACGTTTGCCAACACTGGGTCTGGGGCTGAGGCACCTAGGACGTGTCCAGGCCAAGTGTGTAAGCTCGAGCCTGGCGCCCACGGTCCCAGGCCAGAGCGTCTCACCGGGCCCTGCAGGCCTTGCCACGCACCACCAGTCCCCAGGGGGCTTTGGGCTGCTGTGTTAACCCTTTAACTTCGAAAAATGCACTGAGGGCCCCAGTTTTCAAAGGCTTGAAAGCCCAGTCAACTGTCACTTCTTTAAATCGATTACCAAGTGACTCAGGCTCACCCCCCTGAAGCTCCGACAGTCATTCTCTCTGAACCAGTTCTCTCAGGGGTCTACGCCATGCGCCTGTCCAGAGAATGCACACACCCCATCCTCTGCCTCGAGCCTCCCTCTCAACGGAGGCCAGCGGAGCTCAGCTGACAGCTACGGCGAACCCCACACATGAACGCTCTTCTGCTGGATGACCCAGTCCCAGCTGCGGCCATCACTGAGGGTCGGGCTCTCTATACCCGCAAAGAATGCTGGGGTGGTGCCCCCACAAATACCGTGTCAAGGGCTACTTTCCTGGGACGATCTGTGTCCGTCTCAGCTGATGGGACACCTGCTGTCACTCCTGCCCGTCCAGGGACCCGTCCTCCACGACTCTCAGGCACCGCTGAGGCTGCTCACCCAGGGAGGAGTCAGAGGCCCCAGAGCCCGCAAGGATCCCTAGAAGGGGGACCGAGAGCCACGCCCAGACAGGAGTCATTTCAAAACCAGGAAGAGGGTTTTTACATTTTTATTTATTTTTTATTTTTTTTGAGACAGGGTCACTCTGTCACTCAGGCTAGAGTGCAGTGGTGCCATCTTGGCTCACTATAGCTATGGCTTCCTGGGCCCAGGCAATCCTCCCACTCTAGCCTCCCCACCAACATGCCTGGCTAATTTGTGTATTTTTTGTTGAGATGGGGGTCTATGTTGCCAGGCTGGTCTTGAACTCCTGGCCTCAAGCAGAAGCCGCCGCACCCACCCCCCACCACACTGTGCTACGGACATCCCAGACCTGTTCCCAACACTTGCTCTACCACAAAATGGTTTTGCCACAAGCACTGGTTTGTGACCGGCTCCTCCGAAGTGAGAAGCCCGTTCTCTAAGGAGCTGGTGGACAGCAGCCAAGCTGGCCCCGGCCGAGGGAGTGTGGGACCTGCTGCCTGTGGCTCCTGTATGCCCGTCTGTCCCGTCAGCCAGGGCCTTGAAGGTGCCCATGGTGTCTCTGCCGGTGCCGTGTCTGCTTCTGTCAGGAAGGGCCAGGATGCTGAACAGAAGGACACAGGCTCCAAGTCGCCTCAGCCACCCACCCGCCAGGCAGCCTTGACAGGGCTGCTGGGGCTTTGAACCCTGCGCAGGTGGCAGGGCCAGGGGAGGTCGGAGCATGGGAGCTCAAAGACAAGAGGAGCTGTGCACAGGGGCTGCCCACATGCCCTGGAGTCAGGAGGCCCCGGAGCCCCTGGTGTCACCCCCACCCCAGGCAGCTGGGGCAGCTCAGGGTGCTGGGCTCAGTAAAGGGCTACGTGAACTGGTAGTGGGGAATGTCCTGCTCCGAACTTCCCAGACACCCGAGTGGGGGTCACTGCCACGCCCAGCCTGCCCAGCCCCCTGCAGGACATGGGCCAGCAAGGCTCTGCGAGGCACTTGGGAGGGGGGCCAGGAGAGCCCAGCTGGGCCTCAGAGGCCTGGGGATGCACTGCCCCTTGCTTTCCACACCCTGAAAACAAGGACTGATCAGTCACTGATTCACAGTCCAACAACCAACCTCCAAATCCCAGGGCTTCCAGCAACAAAGGACCTCCCTTCACTTCTGGATCAGCAAGAGGCTCCAGGGCCGGGCCCACTCTGTACCGCCTCCCTGCGGAAGGACCCTCTGCTCTCCACCCCCAGAGCAAGGCAGTGGGCGCCTGGGCTCGGAACAGCTGGGCGGGGCGAAGGCAATGGTCAGGGTAGCGGGGGCACATCCCTGGGGGTGCGGACAACAGGTGAGGAGCAGGCTGGGGGCCTTGCCAGGGTCACATACGTCCCTGGTGACTGAGGAAGGAGCGGGAGACTAGGAGGGAAATAGACCCCCAGGTGGGGAGGGCCCAAGCCAGCCCCTGTGGCAGCCCCTCCAGGCCTCAGTGCTCCTGGGTCCTACCAGGGCCGCAGCGGGAACTGAGGCTGAAGCAAATCAGGGTGGCTAGTGGCACAGCTGTGTCACGGCCAGGCACAATTCCTTCCCAGCACAGCCAGGAGGCTGTCGGGGGCACTGGTGCCTGCTCAGGGTCGGACCTGAGGCCTCCATACCTGCAGTCCCCACAAACCCTGTGCACAGCCCACCCCAACTCTGGCTGGGGCTTGGAGCCCCCAGCAGAGGGACGTGGCTTGTCCTGTGTGTGGTGGAGGCAGCCGTCCCAGGGTAGGCCCAGCTCTAGGAACCGGGGAGCAACTCACAGGAACAGCCCTGGGGTACAGGGGAAGGGTTCACGGAGCCCTTTACTGAGACCCACAGCCGACCCGGGGGATGGTATCCACAGGCTCTGGCCATGGTGCTCTCTGGCTCCTGGGCCCACACGTGTGTCCTGAGAAGTCGTGGCGCACACGCCGCTCTGGTCAGAGCTGGCCGCCACCTTCCAGCTGCATCTGTAGGGCCAGCGTCTGCCCGATGGCCACCAGGGGGCTGGCTCTGTAGGCCGGACTGGCCAGTAGCTCCTGAAACCGGGTCCTTTCTTCCTCGCTGAAAGAATGGAGACCACAGATGAGCAGGTAGGGACCCACAGACGCCTCAGCCCCACCTCTGCCAGGCATGCTGGTGCAGCTGGGACGCTGGAATGAAAGTAGATGCCGGGGGCCACCACAGGGCTGAGCGCTGGGGCCCCAGAAACTTCCAGCGGGAGGGGAGAGGCTGCCCTGGTCTCCTCGTGGCCACAGTGTCCCAGAGCCCTGGCAGCGCCCACCCTGGGGTCTGCCGTTGGGGCATCGCCCGGCCAGCAGGTCTGCTGCGAAGGCTGAGAAACGGGCCAGCGGCTCACCAGCCCTGCAGACTCACACCTTACATAAGAGACAGCTTCCTCCACGTAACCAAAATAGACGCGCACTGGAGGAGGGCCAGGAGCCTGAGCCGGCAGAGGCCTGCAGCAGAGGGGACGCGGCTGCCCCAGATGGGTGCCACGGTGACAACCCAGCAGTGCAGCAGCTCCCCCCAGCCCTACCCAGCCCGGTGCCCACTCAGCTCCCACTCTAAACCGGGAGCAGTGCCGCTGTGGAACGCGAAGGTGATCTGGGGCCCAACTCAGGCACAGAAGCCTCAGGAGCAGCTCCCAGACTCTGCTGCAGTGGCCAGGAGGCCCTGAGCCCGGTGGGGGTGAGGCTGCCCCCCTCAGGCCTGTGAGCCCCAGGTGCACAAAGCCGTGTGTGAGGCTGGACCACACTGGCCCTGGTTTCCTGGGCAGATAACAAGGCTCCTTCACATCCCACTGGACAACCGCCCGGGTGGGGCCCACACACCAGAGCTGCTGAGGACAGTGGGGCTGGGGCCGTCTCCACAGCAGGAGGCACTGACCGCCACCTCCTCCTTCCACTGACACCCTGGCCACGAAATGGCAGCTGGGGTTCTCCCCATAAAGTCAGGGTGAAATGCCTCAGTCCCAGCCTGGACATCACTAGTGAGCTCTGGGGCTACCAGGACCCAACAAGGCCCCATGTGGGGCAACTGAGGAGCTGAGGCCAGGCAAAGGCTCAGGCCAGGTTCTCAGCACTGCTCAGAGTGCCAGGCCAGAGCTGGGGATGGAAAGGAGCCTTGGCAGTGAGGCCTGGAAGGGAAACTGTAGGGGGAGCCTGTGTGTGAGGGGCTGTGGTAAGGGGGCCCGTGTGTGTGTGAGGGGCTGTGGTAGGGGAGTCCGTGTGTGAGGGGCTGTGGTAGGGGAGCCCGTGTGTGTGTGAGGGGCTGTGGTGGGGGTGCCTGTGTGTGAGAGGCTGTGGGGGAGCCTGTGCCTGCCTGTGAGTGTGGATGCTGTATGGGGCATGGGTTGGGTGTCCCTGGCGCTGTGTGGCTCCCCCATGCTGAGCCAGGCCTACAGATGCTATCCTGGACAGCTGTCATCAGAGGCTGACAGACAGGGCCTCCCACCTGAGATGACAGCCCCTGTCCCTGGTATGGTCCTCATGGAGCAGCCTTGGGGAACAGACCACCAGCCCCAGCTCTGAGGCTCGCTCATGCCCCAGATGCAGCCCCGATGGGAGCATGGCCCAGGGGAGGGGACACTCTTACTTCCCACTGGGGTCTCTGGATCAAAGGATCTAAGCACTCAAACCTGAGCCCCATCCACATGCGCCAGAAAGCACCACGACACGAAGGGAACAGTCCTCTGGCTCCAAAACACGGAGTGGACAAGGGGCCTCCTGCCATCCTCTCAGAAGCAACAAGAAACCAAACTCTACCGTTGATGAAACCAGGAGACCTGTTAACCTGAGCTGCTTCGAAATGCAGTGACCGCAAGGACATGGAGGCACCAAGGGGTGCGGACCACAGACCACCTTCGAGAAGAAATCCTGTCACTCCGTCCAGGCAGGGAGTGGCTCCCTGGAGCAGGCTGTGCCTGGGGAGAGGTGCCAGGCAGAGGCAGAGAGGGACGCCAGGCAGGAGGATGGTCACACAGAGACGGCTCTGCTGTTTGCAAACTGTCTCCAGACAAAGCTGGCCCAGGAAGAACTGTTCATAGACAGAGAAGCAGAAACCAAAGAGGGCAAGCAGGAAGAACCTGCTCCTTGAGAGGCTGAGGCAGGAGGATCGCTGCAGCCCAGGAGGTGGAGGCTGCAGTGAGCCTTGATCATACCTCTGCACTCCAGCCTGGGCCACAAAGCAAGGACCTGTCTCTAAAAAATAAAACTAAAAACATTTTAGCAAACTAAAAAAGACAGATTACTACACCGACTATACTTCAGTCTAGATACTACAACGTACCTAGAGTACAAATGGATTAGAGAAAACGAGATGGAAGACAGACGAGAGATCCAATGAATGTATAATCGGTGCCCCTGAAGAAAAGCCAGAATGAGAAAGAAACACTTGGAGCTACCATTTGACACCAGCTCCTAAACATCACAGTAACTATAAAGCAGACTCCAGATTATAAACTGCAAGGGCACAATGGGCCTCGGTAGAAACCGACACAGAATGTTCCCTACTGAGAATCATCTTAGCAGTCATTTCAAACACAAAGAAAAAAAAAAATGACTCCAGTAGCTAACTACTACCATCTTACACGGCATAAAATGTGGTTCCCTCAGTGGAAACTGGAGCTGTGTCTACGAAAAGGCCAGAGTGTGGTCTGGAGACTTTCGTACCTGAGAGGAAAACTGTGTACACATTTCTGCAAATCAGTGTCCTAGCTCTGCTGGCAGGGGCTGCAGTGACCAGCCACAGAACCCAACGTGGCCATCCGGCGATGGGGAGGGGCCGTGTCCACCCACCATTTGAGACCCTTGTCTGCACTTGAAGCCTTCGCAGCAGGCGGCCTTGTCCCGGGCCTGACTGCCCTGCAAAGCCCACCTGGAGTAGACAGGCAGGAGCGACTGCAGCAGTGTGGAGGGGCCTGGGGGGCAGGCGGGGGCTCTCAGCAGCTCAACCCCTGGGAGGGCAGGCCAGGGACACTCAAGACCCTGGGGAGGGTGGGGTGGAGGCACTCACAGAAGCTGCTGTCTCTGCGCTGCGCTCATCCGGCTGAGCTCCGAGGGCCGCGGCTTGCTGCTCTCCCTGCATGGATAGAGCAGCCGCGTCAAGTCAGTATCCAGCATCCCTGGATGCCTTCCCACGGGCAAATGCCGGCCCCTCCCTCTTTGGCGCAGACATGGTGGTGACCTGAGGTGAGCAAACCGTGGCAGAACCACAGCTGCATGCCGCTCTTTGGCTGTGGAGGCTGGACCTGGACAAGGGGTGCCACTGCCTGCCAGTCCTGCGACCTCGGGTCGAGAGCTGCTCTGTGTGGAATCTGGTGACTCCCACAGCTCCTCCTGGCTCCGTGAGGCGTGGAGGGAGCAGTTGCCAGGAACACATCTCATGAAACACAGGGTCTCCACCCCACCTGCCTGGCCAGGGCAGGCCATGCAAACACCTCACACTTTGGGCCAAATGACCCTGGCAGGCAAAGCCAGTCCCATGCCTGCCACACACGCCACTTCCCAGGAAGCCCGAGTCACCCACCCCTGCCTACGTGTCATGCTATTATACCGGGGGGGACCTGTGCCCGCCCTCCTGATGACTAAATTAGGGGGCAGGGGCACGGACCCCCATAGATCCTGCCCTGCCTGCACCTGCGGGGGGTGCCAGCGAGCGCTGCAATCCCTGTGGACAGGTGGAGGAACCATGGAGGTTACGGAGTGCTGCTGGCTACTTCCTTTAGTCCTGGGATCTCCAAACCAGGACGCTGGGCCTTGACTTGGGGCGCGGGCGGGCCAGGACACTCCCGTCTCTGGCGTCCACCCTAAGCAGGCACTGACTCCTGGCGGAGCGTCTCACCCTCAGGTAACCATGGGAATTCTGGGAACTCACCTGTGCTCCCCTGTGGTCAGCCGGCCAAGGTAGCCACCCACCTGGCCGAATGTTCCGACGGGACAGCAACCTGCACCTTGAAAGGGAGGGAGAGGCTGCGGGGCCACACCAGGCGCCTACCCAGATCTGCCGTCCACACAGCGAGGCGGGACCCAGAGGGCATGGGGAAGGCGGAGCTGCGGGGTCCTCAGGCCAGCCCTATGCTTAGCCTCGGGCCAGGAGACTGGCTCTTTTATTCACCGCTCTCTTAAAACATGAATGACAGACATTTGGGGTCTGCTCCAAACAGCCCTCAGCACCCACTTTCGTTTAACCCTGGCTCTGCGCTGACTTGGGGAGGGACTCAGTCCCCACGCCTTCCGCTCACACTGGCAGATGACTGCCCCTGGCGTCTCCTGTCCCCTCCGCCTGCTCAGAGCTGCATACATTCCAGGGACTCTGCCGGCGCTAAGGATGCCTCCCCACGGCCTATCCTGGGCCAGCCTTGACGCGACACAGAAGCTCTTCCCCTCTGGCTGGCTGACCGCTCCCCATGCCCACCCCCAAGCAGCAGCTGTCAGCGTGGGACCCCCTCCTCCAGGTGCATCCCTGGTGCCAGGGCGAAGCCCTCAGTGGGGCAGCCACATGCTGGGGGCAGGAGACCTGGGCCTGGGTCCAAGGCAGCCTTCCCAGCTGGGGATACCTCGGGCCGCGTAGCTGCACCCTCACTCGTGAGAGAGCTGAAATGGCAGTAGGGGTGGGACTGATGCCTCCCAAGGTTCCAAAGCAGAGAAGCTGCACCCAGGGTGGCTGCAGTGCCCACACGGCCAGGCGCAGCACCTCCTCCTCCTCACCGCAGGTACCATCCCCCGCCTCGCATCCCACACCCCATCCTCCCAGGCGGATGCACAGCCTCCCAGTGGGGTGCCCGAGAGTTCAGTGCCCTGTGGATGGAGTGCTGGGCAGTCACCATCACAGGCCAGGATGACCCATGGGGCAGCACTGGCAGTGACATGACTCTGCCAGGCCCAGCAGCGGGAAGCCACAGAGGATCAGAGCCTACCTCCACCCAGTGTGGAGCCTCACAGTCCCCAAGGTGCGCCCTCCAGGCAGGAGCAGTGACATCACCGCCACTCCACTCCGGGCATGGTGCGGGCAATCGCCCACAAAGCACATACATGAGGCTGAGGTCCGGAGCTTGAGTGGTCACTAAGGTCCCCTCCCCCAGAAGCAGAAGATGGGGCTCCAGGCTGGGAAGGAGGGACTGTCCACCCTCCAGCCTCCCAGGCCACTGGTGCTCGCCTGCTGACTCCTCAAGCCCAGAGCACATCAGAGTCCAAGAGCAGAGGTGGCTGGGGCAGAGACCTGCTCGTCGGGACCAGGTGCAGTTCCTGGAGACATGGCTGCCGCCCAGGCACACGGAGCACCAGACCCAGGGCCTTACACCTGCAATACCCAGAACGGGGCTCCCTAGAGAAACAGCAGACTCCAGGACTGCCAGGAGAGGTCCAAGGGGCACTCGGGGCACCTGCTGGTGCTAGGCAGTGGGAGAGAGCTAAAAATACAACCCCCACCTGGATGGGGCATGCCAAAGGGAGCCAGGAACAGCTGCAGGAATTCCCTACAGCAAACACTGGAACAGTTTTGGCACCAAAATCAAGGAGCACTGGATTCAGCCCCGAGTGTAAGCGAAACATCCTTCAGTCCAGAACACCACCAACGCACGACCGGTACGTAGATGCGTGCACAGAGAAACAGTTCTTTCCCAGCAGAATTTCAGACAACCTCCGCAGCCACTGTGTCTTCCAGGAGGTGGAGCACAACCCCCACCCCGAGACGAGGGCTGCACAGTGACTTCCTTCCAAAGGGACGGCATGGAGGGGGAGCCTTGCCCCACAAGGGCCAGGTCAGCCTCACCATGCTGTCACGCTGACGGCGCGTGCCTGATAAAGTGGGTGAGAGTGGCACCTCTGGGGGCTTCCTCCCGAACTCAGTCCCTTCCTGTACCCACGAGAAAATCATCAAACAGGTGCCAGCTGAGGGACAGCTTCCTCAGAACAGTCAAGGTCACCAAAACCAAGAAGAGTCTGAGAAACTCACAGCCAAGCGGGGTCTGGGGAGCCGGGATGTCTGAGCGTCCCGTGGGATCCTGGATGGGACCCTGAGGCAGAAGCGCCATCAGGGAAAAACGAAGGAAAGCTAAGGCGTGGCCTTTGGTTAACCATTAATTACTTCGTTAATGCTCACTACTTCCCTGTGGACGCTGGCTCCTTAAGGGTGACAGGCGCAGCACACCAGCGTAAGAGGAACAGCCTGCGGGGCGTGGGAGCTGCAAGGAGCTCTCGGTACCATCTCTGCCGTTTTTCTACGAATCTAAAACCCGTCTAAAATAGGGCTCATTCCAAGAGCTCCCCCAGGGTCAAGAGGCACTGCTGCCTGAACCTCATCTGAGGAGGGACAGGGACCCCCGACACAGGAGGCTCTCAGGGCTGAGAGCAGATGGGCCCCGGCCCCAGGCCCCGCACGGGGCACAGCAGCCCTGCAGCAGGGCACATCCTTCTCGGCCTGGGGCCGGGTGTTTACACAGCCCTCTCCCTTCTGGGAGCTCCAAACACATTTTTGAGATGAGAAAACTGAAGACTGGGAAAGATACTTGACTAGGGTCACATTTTTGTTCCAGAACCAGGAATGTTCAGTCGTCACATCTCCACTCCGGGCCACCGCTCCTAGCCTGGACCCAGCGCTCTGGTTGCTTCCGCCACGGGACGCCGGCCTGGAGCGGCCTGGACCTGCGGTGCGTTACTGCCAGCCCGGGCCTGGGCGGCTGGGCCACGGAAGGATGACCCCAGATCCGACACTGCACCCAGCCCCTGCTTCCTCCCCAGATGGAAAGTCAGTAGGAGAAAGAAAGTATCTTCAAAAAGGCAAAATTAGAGACGACACGAATGAGGAAGGCCCAGAAGCTGAGACAGGATGGAGCAGCCCAGCCTCTTTCCAGCCACCCCTGGAAGCTGGGCTGTGGCTCCACAGCCCCGGGCCTGAGCCGAGCCTCGGCACCCACGCTGGGCAGTGCCTCCCAGCCACTGGGTAAGGGTAGAGGCTGCTTTCCCTTCACGTGCATGTGACCCGGGCACAAAGAGCCTGAAAGCAAGCTCCTGGGAGACAGGCACCACAGGCAGCACCTTATTGGCAGCCTGTGTCCCTGAAAGGCCACAGGGAGGGTCATGCAGCTGCTGCCCTCCTGGCTGAGCCACCCTGGGGCACACACGCCATGGCAGGCTGGCAGGGCCACATCCATGTCGTCAGGACACACAGAACCTGCCACTGACAAATGGTTCACTGGGTGACAGGGGTCTGGAGGGAGCATCTCGGCGCGTCAGGAGGAGGCTCATGCCAGGGACCAGGCTTTGCCCAGGGCTGGGGCGTGGGGTGTCACACGGATGTCCGGGCCCGGGCCCAGGCCAGCTGGCTTGGCTGCTCATGCACAAAGGGCCCAGAACCCGCCACCCCAGCTCTCAGCAGGGGGCAGGGGAGGGGCACTGTGACGCCATCAGCCAAGGGTGGGACAGAAACCTGCCTCTTCCCTGAAGAACAAACCACATCCAGACCTGTGACGATACCAGGTGGCACATGCCTCCTGCACAGGCAGGTACAGCTTGGGAGAGCAGCTGGACCCACACCAGGCCCCGTCCCTCCTAGGGAGGACACACAAAGCAGATCCCACCCATGAGGACAAGTCCTGGGAGGCGTGCACCAGGGGCCTGCATGTGTGGGTCCCACACGCTCACCCCGCCCGACACCAGGGCACCCTCCGTGGGACGGAGTGAGCGCAGGACAGGGTGTGCAGTGTCAGGGAAAAGCCCACTTAGGAGGGGAGGCTGGAGCCCCCGTCAGACTCGCGGGAAGGGCATGGTGGATGCTCAGGGGCCTCGGCTGGGCACAGAACAAGGAGTTGGGAAGACCCCCCGGGGGACCTGGCAGGAGCTGTGGCCGATGTGGAGGGAGGGGCACATGAGGGAGCTGGCGTCAGCAGAGCCAGGCTCCTCACAGGGTTGGGCCCGGGTGTCCCAGAAACGTCCCTGACAGACCCCAGCAGCCTCACAAGCTCAAGCCAGGGAGCAGGGTACCTGTGCGGAGCACCGGCTAACGCCCCAGCTCTCGGCCTCTGCAGGGTCACGAGCCACTGGGGCCCGTGGGGCCCGCTCACACCCCTCCACCTCTGGACCCGTCACCCCCAAAGCTCGGACAGGGCTGCCCCTCCCGGACACTCACCTGTGGGCCTGGCGCCGACTGCCAGCCTCGAGCCCCAGCAGCTCAGGCAGAGCGTCCCTGAGGGGGCGCAGGTCCCCCACCACTACCGTGGCCCTCCGCCTCTGCTCCTCCCTGTGCTTCTGCTCAGCCAGCTTGATGGCTTCGATTTCTGAGGAAGGAAGAATGGCCTTAGAGGCAAGCAAGAGGCGAAGGAGAGCCCAGGCCCGGAGCCCCTGGCCCACGAGAGACCTGGCTGGGTACCCAGCCCTGCTGCCGTTCTCCTTGCCACGGTCACCCCCGTTCCGCCCCCTGGACACCTGCAGGCGAGGAGGCTTGAGCTATTTTTTCCCCCTTCATCACAGAGCTGTGCTTTTTAATCGCAGGGCTGACTACGAGGTGGAGCGCAGCCACTGAGGATTTCTCCTGCAAAGGGACACGGGCGACACCGGCTGGGGCATGCGATGGGGAGCAGAGGGAAAATGAAGAAAACGGGCAAGTCACTGCCTGGGAGGCTCAGCTGTGTTCCCAGGAGGAAGAGGGCTCCCCAGAGGGAAGGGGAGAAGCCCCAGGACAGACCCGAGGGCCTGGGGCCGTGGTGGGTGGCAGGCAGGGCCGAGGCCTCCACGCTGGAGAAGGGATTTGGGCCAGGCCTGGACAGAAGGGGCATGGCCTTGGCATTTGATTTCATTTAAAAATGTATTTGTTGAAAATTGCTACGAGAACACATGCTCGGACACGCTGCTCGCTGCACGTGGCTCCTGGAGGCTGTGAGCTGGGACAAAGCCTGCTCTCTTCAGGGCAGCCCAGTGGGACAGGCCTGCAGCTCAGGCACTGCCAGCTTGTGCACAGGCCCGGGCATGGCAGCACCTGAGCCTCTGTGGGAACAGTGCCCAGGTTTCCAGAGGTGGCAGCAGCCAGCTCCTCTCCAATCCTGCTGTCCGGGACAGCGGCGCCCTCTCATGCCACGAAGCAGGTGGCTCACAGAGCAAGGTCTGAAGGGCCCACCCTGACCAACCCAAAGTCAGGAGATGCCACCCTGCCCTGGGTCCCTGTAGCAGGGTGTGATTACCTGGCCCCAAATCACTGACAAGAACCTGGGACAAAGACCACCCTTACTCCGGGTCTTTAGTCCCCAGCGCAGGGTGAGAGCTGGGACGGCGTGCGCCAGCTCTCCGCAGCCTCAGGAATCATGAAGTTTCTACGGTAAGAATCCAGTGCTTGCTCCATCCTGCCTGGACTTCGGGAGACACGTTACTCGAAACCTTGTCAAAAAGAGAGCCAGGGCACCCTGGAAGCTGGGGAAGGGAGGGGTGGGCCGGGCCAGGTGGCTCCGTCACAGGCTGCAGACCCAGACCAGGGAAAGCAAAGCAAGAGGCCTGTGGCTCCCGTGAGGACAGACGCAAAGGCCCGGACCTCGGCAAGTCAAAGCCAGAAGCCTTTCGGAAGAATGACACCTTGTGCCAAGCGGGGTGAGTCCCAGGCACGCGAGGGCAGTTCCCCCGGGAAAGCCTCCGCGTGATGCTCCTCAGGGGCCGCTCAGAGGCCAGAAAGCCTACAGTCACCACCACCAGTGTCTGCTCACTCAAGATAAAAATGACAATGAAGTCACAAACAGAAGGACTTCCTTGACAGAGATTAGCTGCTAGAAACTGACAGCGAGTCTCACGTTTCACAGCAAAACATCAGACGCTCAATGATACAGCAGAACAAGAAAAGACCACAATATCAACAATCCCACTTGGCCCGCTCAGTTCTGAGGTGGGGAGTGGGGAGGCAGTGGGGGCGGGACCCACACTCGGAACACTCAGCACGGCTGTCCTGGGCAGCGCCTGGGGGAGACCCAAATGAACAGCAGCTTCCAAGCAGCCAGGAGGGCCAATGGGAGGGCGAGCTTCCTCTCAGTCGCTCGCCCCGCAAAGACCTGACGCTGCCTCAATTACAATTTCAACAGGGTTTTTAGTCAAACCGGTGCAGCTAATTCTAAATTTTATTTTTAAAAACAATTAAATGCATAAGAATAAATAGTAAATACATTTTTAAAAAACAAGAAGCAACAAGAAAGCAGGGCTATCACACATTAAAGCAAATCACGACAGACATTCAGTGGGGCAAAGTGCGGATGAACGCTTAGGGACCGCAGGGCAGACGGTGGGCGAAGTGTGACCACAGCACGTGACGCTTTAGATAAACTGAGTCCTCCTGGGGAAAAAGCTGGATTCCTCTCTCACGCTGTTCCGAAAAATCAGTTACGTATGAATTAAATACTAAAAGCAAAGCGGAATCAAAGGCCAAAAAGTATAGTAAGAGCCACTCGACTTGATTAGAAATCAAGGAAAAGAAAATCACAGCTACAAAATACCATTTGCCACCTCACAGACTGGCAAATCTTTTAACTGTTTCATAATACCAAGTGTTAGAGGATCTGGGAGCTGCTGGGTGGACGTGAAGCGGCCTGCCCGCCTAGGAGGACAGCGCGGGACAGGAAAGTTGAGTGGGACATGTGTGCTTCCAGCTACCCACCGTCCCGCCCATAGATGTGGAAGCCACTGCCCGTGGCATGGCTGGGGCACAGGCTGTGTGGTGGAATATGGGGGCGCCACCTGGGCACCGGGGAAGTGTGTGGACAAGACAAAGCAAAGCAAGGGACGAAGAGTGACTGGAGAGGCCTCCAGGAGTGGGAGGGCACGGGAAGGGGGGACAAAGTTTGTGACCTTGTCCTCACAAAGACGAGGTGGGGGTGGTGCATTCAGATCCACAGGGGAAATGTCAACACAAATTGAGGAAAAAAAGCAAATTGAAGGAAAAAAAAAAATCCATGCACACAGAAAATATGCATTTCTAAAGATTCTAAGGTATCTACAAAATGACTACCAAACCTAATACATATTAGTAAATTCATAGGATACAAGACTAATATTTTAAGGAACCAATTATGTAATATACTAGCAGAGAACTAGAAACAAACTGAATTTAAGGGAGCATAAAAAACTAGTAAATACTTAGCAGGAAGCTTAGTGTAAGACCTCTACCGAAAAACGACACAACAGTGGTGAAAAAAAATTGAATGGTGAGATGTAGCATGTTCATGGATCTAAAGATTTGCTATTGTTAAGACAGCAATTCTGAAGTGACCTATAGATTCAATGAAATCCCGGTCAGAACCTGACCTGGTTTTTCTTGTTGTTTTTAAATAAACAGATGAGCTAATGGTAATTTATATGGGAATGCCAAGGACCCAGAATATCCAAAGCAACCTTAAGACAGACAGACCAGCATAAAGGACTTACGTTATCTGACTTCCAGACTAATGTTAAGGCTACAGTCATCAAGAGAGTATGTCATTTGCTAAGGTACAACAAACAGATCAGTGGAACAGAAGACAGCCTAGAAACAGACCGTCACTTATGAGTCCACTTGATTTTTCACAAAGGCACAAAATAATCCAGTGGGGAAAGAAAAGTGTTTATAACAAATGGTGCTGGAACAACTGAATATCCATACTGGGGGGGAAAAACGTAACTTAACCACTAACACCACACACACACACACACACAAACAATTCAAGATAGAAAAAAAACCTAAATACGGAGGCTTAAAGTATCAAGTTTTTAGAAGAAAATATAGGAATAATAGCTTCATGACTTGGGATCAGGCAAAATTTTCTTAACTAGGACACACACACATATATACATACATACACACACAATAACTAAACTCAAAATTAAGCTCCCATTTATAAAAAAGAAAAAAAAAAGTTAAGAAAATGAACAGGCAAGTCATAGTCCAGGAGAAAACATCTGTAAAAGGCATGTCCCACACCAAAGACTGGACTCCAGTACAGATAAAGAATTCTTAGAGCTCAATAATAAAAAGGCAAAAAGTCTCATGGAAAACGAACTTCACTGAGGCTGAAACGCAAATGGGCAGTAAGCAGATGAAACACTCCTTTGGTGGCAATGAGAATGAGTCCCGCCATTCGCGATCACCAGACGGCCCAGACAGGAGGCGCCGCGCCGCGTGCTGGCAAAGCTGCAGGGCAGGGAGAACTCGCACAGGCTTCTGGTGGGAGTGAGAGTGTACAACCACTCTAGAGAAACGTCTGGCAGCTGCTTGTAAAACTAAACATACACCTACCCTATGACCCAGCATTCCATTCCTCAGCATTTACCCAAGAAAAACGAAAACATGTCCACAAAAAGACGTGTAAAGAATGTTCACAGCAGCCTTATTCACAGTCCCTAAAAATGGAAGAAGCCCAGGTGTCCGTCAGCAGGAAAGTGACTAACAAATGGTGTATTCATACAACGAAACACTCCTCAGCAAGAAGCAGGCATGGGCTACTGCTACATGCAGCCTGATGGGCTTTAAAACCATTATGCCAGACAGAGAGGGCACAACCTATGTGATTCCATTTCCATGAGGCCCAAGGCAAGAGCACCTCAACTGTGGGCAAAAAGAGTGGCACACTGGTTACCACCGCTGGGATGGGTGGGAGGGTGAGTGGCTGGAGCGTACGGAGGCTACCGGGAACGGTGGGAATGGTCCGTAATCTGAACGGGATTTCAGCTGCACAGGTGTACACATTTGTCAGAAATCACTGAATCACACACTTAAGATCCGCATTTCATTTTACATAGATACAACCTTCAAAAGAAAAAGAAAAAAGAAAGAACCATGAACAAATATTGAACTCTAGCAGAATTATTTGGGGTGGAGTATACTGATGTCTGTAACTTACTTTGAAATGCATTTTTAAAAACCCATGTTGGCAGATGGACAGAAATTGCTAGATGAACAGTTATGTAATAAAGATTGTAAAATCTGTGTGGTGGGTCCAGGATATTCACTGTAAAATTCTTCCCACTTTCCTGAATAAAATTTTTCATAATAAAATATAAAGTAAAAACACCTTGGGAAATATAGCTAAAGCTGTATTTAGAGAAAACATAGCCTTTCAGTCCTGAACAAAACATATGAAAACAAATGAGCAGAGCAGCTGAACCCTAAAGAAAGCTAGAAGAGAGCAGTGATCAAAATAAAAACTAACAATTTTGAAGACAAAAGAGTAGAATGATCATTAAATACATTCGTTAATGATTAAACAGAAGAGACAAAACTTCTTAATCAGAAATGAAGGGGGGGGATACAAATAAAGAATGATAAAGAAAACAGAATATTTAATGAGAAGGCAGCCAAGACATAAAGACTGAGATGTGACTAAATCTGATCATTAGTGTTATTCAGAGACAGCGGCCTGCTCGTGGTGCAGGCTGGAGGGCAGTCGGGCAATCATGACTCACTGCAGCCTGGAACTCCCGTGCTCAAGTGATCCTCCCGCCTCAGCCTTCTAAGTCGCAAGGGCTGGCGGCTCAGAGGCACGCACCACTTAATCTGGCTAATTTTTATATTTTTTATAGAGACAGGGTCTTGCTATGTTACCCAGGCTAGTCTCAAACTCCTGGGTGTAGGTCATCCTTCCACCTCAGCCTCCCAAAGTGCTGGGATCACGTGCGGCACCATCCCTGGACAAATTTGCTCATTTTATGAGTGACCAAAATTGACTCAAGTCGTGAAAAAGAAAAAAAAGGACCAAGTGCCACAAAATAAAATGTACACATCATCAAAGAATGAAGCCTAGAAAATCAGAGTCCAACAGCCACAGTGCAGCAGCTCATCCAGACCCACTTTCACTGCTATCCCAGGAACTGTGAAAACGCAAATGGAGGAACGAATCACTTCCTTAAGAAATACCCAAAAAGTGACAGAAGCCGTGTAACAGTAATAATCACGAAAGAAACTGACAAACTTTTCTAGGTCCTACCTCTGAAACACATACATTTTCTTTAAAACCTCCAAGGAAAAAAATAGGCAGACCATGCTTTAACATGTAAGGACATAAAAGAGAAAATATTCCAAATTAATTTCACGAAGTCAGCAGAATCACACTAAAAAGATAACCAAAAAATGCAAAATAATTTTGATGAGAAAAATCTTTAGAAAAACACTGGCAAATATTCAGCACCATGAAAAATAAGGAGAAACTCTCAACAAAGTGAGTGGGAAGCACAGCTTCCACCTGTGGAGACAGTGGCTAGGGGGAGCACGTGGCAAGGCCAACCTCGCACGTGGAGCTTCAGAAAAAAGGGACCCCAGGAGCCCTGCCCACACCCACACTGCTGTGCACAGACGCTGTGTTTTCACCATGGGCAAGGCCTGGACAGATTTCACACTCCACTGCAGGCACTTCCAAACCACAGAGACTCCACGAGCACAGGGTACTTCCATAATAAAAATTCACCGCGGGAACCAAAAATAGGGAATTTGTGAACAAACAAGGAGCCAAGAGCAGCAGCTTCCCCAGGCCATCCTCCAAGGAGAGGCAGCCCAGCTCTGCAGGCGCCCACACGGGTGGGGTGGCAGTGCCACCTGTAACGGCAGACCGGCAGCTTGTCCATGCTGTCACATCTCCCAGGCCTCCCTCTCTGGGCTTCCCCTATCCTTCAGCCCCCACCGCAGCCTCTGAAGGGTCTTGGGTGATCCCCTTGGGCACCCCAGGGGGGAGTGCAGCTGTGGGCACAGGAGGGCCCAAGGGATGGGACTTGGCCAGCAGCTGCCTCGAGACGCAGATGTGGACTTACTCTGCAACCATCGCTCACGCCTCAGCTTCATTTTCTCCTTCTTGGACAAAATAGTCTTGGCCGCTGCACCTGAGGACAAAGAGCACAGGAGTGAGCAACACATGTCCAGGAGGACCCCCACAACCTGAGAATGGGCTGGGGCGGGTACAGACCGCGGAGCTGCCATAGTCACAGCAACTGGTCTGGCCTGTACCAGCACCTGCAACACAGCTCAGCCTGGACTTGGGAGGCTCTCTCAGCAGCGTCCCCCTGTGGTGATGGCCTGGCCACTTACTCCTGGCCTGCCCTGGAAAGCCCAGGCAGGTGTCCCAAATAGACGCCTCCTCCCTACTATGACCCGAACGACTGTCAGGGCAGGCCACAGCGAAGCCACACAGCAACACAGGACGGCTCAGAAGGGGGCCGCGAATAGGGCAGAAGTGCTTATGGAGGCGTCCCCGGGATCCTGGGTGGTCAAGCAAGGCCCAGTGATATAGCTGCCCCCTGCCAGGCCCGATGACGTGCTCAGTGGACCAGAGGCTCCATGCCTGGACCCCGTAAAGCAGCTAGAAAAACACTCGGCTAAAGCCACATCCCCGGTGAGGGACAGATGACAAGGAGCCAAGATCAGGGCACTGCTGCCCCAAGACCCACCCCTTGCAGACAAGTGCTTCTGCCCAGCCCAGCCTGGACCCCAGAACAAGGGTAGTCTGCACAGAGGTGCCTCTGAGGGCCCCAAGAGCACTCGGCTCTCAGAAACGCCCCCCTGGAGTGGCAAGGAGCCCAGCTGACGCCCTTCTGTGAGCCCAGCTGGCTGCCCAGCATCTCCCTCTGTGGGGGAAGCTTCCAGAACAAACACCAATCCAGGCCTAACACCTCCCCCACCACAGCCCCAGGCCTTCCCCAGACCACTAGGTGCCCCTTTTCCCACCTGTCCTGTTGTGTCTGGGCAAGCGTTTGGAGGGGCCTTCTCCAGGACATGGCAGGAAAACAGGCACCCTCAGCCCTCCATGGCCTGCCCCAGCGAGGTGAGTCCTGAGAACTGGGGACAGCTCCCCCTGACCTCTGTAAAGCCACTAACAGTGAGGAAAAAAGTCCCCATGGGGCTCCGGGGGATGGAGGCACAGCAAGGCAAGGGCTGGTACCCAGGGGCACAAGCTGAGTGCTGCGTGGGACTCGTGTGAAAGATGACAAGCCCTTGGCGGGGGCACAGACAGAAAGACAGTGGCAGTGTCGGAGGGCCTCTGCCAAGCACGGACGGGACAGCGCTGCCCCAGGACCTGGCCTCACACGAGCAAGGAACCCTGGGGTACTCGGGAGACTTCGGGCCAACCCTACTTAGCACCCACAAGGCATGTTATGTCCCCCTCACTGCCACTGCTGTCTGATGAGAAGGTGAGCTCCACAAGCACAGAGACTCTTGCCTGTTTTTTCACTGCTGCCTTCCTAAGTTTAGAACAGGGCTTGGCCCACAGCCCTGAACCACAGGCCTCTCTGCCAGCAGTCTGTGGAAAGGCAGGAGGCTGCCTGCTGCCCAAGTACGCCCCCTCTGCCAGGGCAGCTCTGGCTCTCGGAGAACCACTAGGGCATAGGCCTGGGGACACGTTGCCCGTGCATCCACCTGGCTGACCTGAACACTCCTGGATCCCCTCCTGCCAGCTCGCCGAATACTCGCTCCTGTGGTGACAGCAGTGCTGCCCTTGCCGCTACCTGGGCAAAAATGGTTCGGGGTCACTCCCCCAGGCAGTTCCACTTCATTCAGGGTCACTCCCCCAGGCTCTCTTGGTTCGGTTGGGGCTCACTCCCCCAGGCTGTCTCGCCTGTCTTGTGGCTCCAAGCAAGGGTCAAGGGATCCCAGCCTCTCATAAGGCTCCGACTTCCGGAACACACAGCATCCCCAGCCTGTCCCTCCCATGCTCAGCCTCCTGTTCACAGCGCCCGGACCCCTTCTCCACAGATTTCGGTTCGGGATCGCACATGCTTTCCAGTTTCTCGCTTTTTATTCACCTTGAGGCACAGAAGCCCCCATCCTCCCATTTTGGAAGGCATGGGGGCAGTAGTGGCCTGAGGGTGCTTTCCTCTGAGCTCACGGGTCGGCAGGGCAGCCTCCAGCTCCGCTGGTGCTGCTGTCCCAGGCCCAGAACTTTCTACTGCACTTGCCACTGCAGGGCCCGGTCCATCGTGGGAGAGGCTGACTCAGCAGGGCCTCGCACCTGCCTGGGGCAGCAGCAGCAAACGCTGCCCTGCCTGACAGCCCAGAAGGAAGGCACTGTGTCCAGAGCCAGAGCCTCCATCCACGTGGCAGGTCATCGCCACCTGGCCAAAGAGGGACCTGTGGCGGCGACTGAGACCCCAGCCCAAGTCACTGGCGATGTCATTGAGGGATCATTCAGGAAAGGCAGAATGTGCTGGATCACGGCACAATGGCTGAAACGCTCAGAGCTGCAGTTCAAGAACACAGCTTCACCTGCTCAGAACGGCTCCTTACAGCTTCCCGTGAGGGCTGCCAACTCCCCCTGCTGGGTGTGCCCCACCAGTGGGACCAGGCAAGAGGACAAAGGTCACTCCAGACGGTGAGGAAGAGCAGTGAGCAGTGCAAGGGCTCGAAATGCCGTTCGCACTGGGAGGGGCCCCGGACACCCCCACCAGACAGGATCACCAACAGGAGCCTCTAAAGCCCTGAGGAGCCGCTGGCTGGATCTCCTCCTGTGACCCTACAACCTGGACACGCTCAGCCCCAGCTTATAGGCCCCCAGCTGTCTGGAATTTCTCTGCACTCATGTCCTGTGAAGCAGGGAGCAGGACTCTCAGGTTAAATCCTGAGCAACAGGTGGTTTCAACACCCTTTCACTGATTCTACCCACGCGGCAAGAGAAGACCATTCCTCTTGGATGCTGGCTGCTCTGGGAGCCATCAGCCCACCCCACCTGCCAGCCTGGAGATGCATCCTGGCCTGCAACTGGGGAGCAGCACAAGGCAGGGCATGTCTCTGCCTTCTCCCCTCTCCCAGGACACCCCCTGCCATGGAAATGCAGGCCTTGGGCATCCCCCGCTATGGCCTCATCTCCTGGCCGGGGCCCTCCTTACCTTGTCCCCCACCATGGCCTGTCTCACCTCCCCAGAACGACTTGCCTGCACCCCCAACTGTTACAGGCTGATTTGTGTCCCCAAGTTCATGTGTTGAATCCCTTAATCCCCAGAACCTCAGAATGTGACTGGATTCAGAGACAGGGTCTTTACTTGGCCCTGGCGTCCTTCTAAGAGATGAGGACACAGACACACACACAGGCATGGCCCCGCGGGGCCACACAGAGGAGCAGTAGCTGTGGAGGGCACTCTGCTTCTTGCCGGTGAGTGCTCTGCGGGAGGAGCCTGGCAGCCCGCAGCTCTCACGGCCGACCCCGCCTGCCCTGCTGGCCACCTGCTCGCCTGCCCGCCTGCCCTGCTGGCCACCTGCTCGCCTGCCCACCTGCCCTGCTGGCCACCTGCTCGCCTGCCCGCCTGCCCTGCTGGCCACCTGCTCGCCTGCCCGCCTGCCCTGCTGGCCACCTGCTCGCCTGCCCGCCTGCCCTGCTGGCCACCTGCTCGCCTGCCCGCCTGCCCTGCTGGCCACCTGCTCGCCTGCCCGCCTGCCCTGCTGGCCACCTGCTCGCCTGCCCGCCTGCCCTGCTGGCCACCTGCTCGCCTGCCCGCCTGCCCTGCTGGCCACCTGCTCGCCTGCCCGCCTGCCCTGCTGGCCACCTGCTCGCCTGCCCGCCTGCCCTGCTGGCCACCTGCTCGCCTGCCCGCCTGCCCTGCTGGCCCAGGGCCTCCCTGCAGAGCTCGTGTGCTCATTATCCGGGGATGCTCAGGAACGTGGGCTCTGTTTTGGTCAGTTCACAATCCTCCAAGTTAGCCCCTTTCAAGGTGAGAAAGCTGAGGCTCCGAGGGCACAGTGGCTTGCCCAGGTCGTGGGGCCATGCTGTGGGCAGGATGTGAAAGCGCCATGGCAGATGGCCCACTGGATTCGACCACCCTTTCCGGCCACGGAGCCTCAGTGGCGGAGCAGCCTCGGGCGAGGCCCAGCCGGCACTTCCCCTGTCCCCCGGGACCACACGGCTAAAGGGATCCTGGAGACACAGGATTTGGAAGTGTATTCCCCAAAATAAACTGTAAACCAAGGTGTGGATACAGGTATAGCTTCTCAGTGCCAAGAAAATGCACACAGCCCACACTGCAGAGCGTGGAGCCTCCCAGGCCCCTGAGGACCACCTTGCCCCCAACGAGCAGCCACACATTCCGGGGTGACGTCAGCTGGGCCTGCCCCACATTAACCCCAGCTGACTAACAGCTGGACGAAGATGGCCAGTCCGTGTTGGCAGAAACCACCGTGTGGGCGCAGGCCAAACTGGAGGGCCCTGTGGAGGCCTTGGCGGTGCCAGCTGACACGGGAGACAGCTCCATGCCTCCCCTTCTCTGGGGACAGCCACAGTTCACACAGTGCCCAGACAGACTGGGGACAGCCAGAGGGGACATCGCGCTCGGCCACTGCGGAGCTTCCTGCCGCTTGGTGCAAAGGTGGGGCCCAGGACAGGGGGCGAGGGCTACACCCTGGGCGGCAGGACCCCAGATGCAGGGTGGAGGGGCTCTCTGCTGGCTACGGAGCCTCTCAGCGCCTCCACATCATCAGCTGAGTGGGTGGGATGCGCTGTGGGCTGAATACCCATCCCTCCAAAACTCAGGTTGAAACTCAGTTCCCAATGTGTCATCACTGAAAGGTGGGACCTTTACGGGCTGACTGGGTCATGAGGACTCTGCCCATAGGAATGAATTGATTCATTCACAGATTCATGGATTAATGGGTGAAAGGACTAACGTTTATCAGGGGAAGGGGACAGTGGCTTTATAAGAGGAGGAGGAGAGACCCAGGTAGGTGCACTCAGCTCCCTCAGCACAGGATGCCCAGCGAGGGTTTGGGCCTCAGCAGAGCTGCCACCAGCCAGAAGGCTGGCACCAGATGCAAGCCCTTAACTCTAGACTTCTCAGCCTCCCGAACCTAAGATATTGATGGGACGGTGTGGCTTTCGGTGTGAAGTGAGTTTAGGACATAA